GCTTGGTTTCCATGTTCTGTAAGTAGAGCACATTTCCTGGCTATAAATCCAAAAAACAGTTTCGAAGAGCGGGGCACGACCTGAAGGACCCCCGTCACTGCCCTACGCAGGACTTGAATGCAAATTTCGGGATAAAATGGGTAGGTGAGGACATTCAATTATGGAGTTCAGGAGTGAAGAGGGCAATGAGCTGAAAACGAAAAAGGAATCGAAAGAGAGCCGACCGGTTATGCCTCGGACGAAGCACACTTCTCTTCAAGCGGGATTCCAAAATGGTATGGAAAAGGGCGGGGTTTGGATAAGTTGTTCGATCTAATGCTAGAATTGCCCGGTGCTTGATCCTAGGCCAGAAATCGTACATGCACCGGAATTTTTGGTGTAAATGGATGTTCCCTTTCTGTGTTATTACGTCCTTTCATCAAAAAAAAAAAGAAACCCTCTCCCCCATGAGGTTTTTTGGACCAAGTTAACGACCCTTCAGGCCACAAAGGGGAATGCGCGACACTGAGTTCGCAGTTTAACAGTGCTGCAGCTGCAATGCTCTTCTCGCAGCGACGCTGATGGTGGGGCTTGCGGACTAGGGTGTGTGGATTGCAGGTGGAGCCAGCTTTCAGGCACTTCCATGCCGCAAAAGGGGTGCTCTCGTCCACCTGTCTCCCGCCATCCGGGATGGAACAGTTGAGTTGCCTAATCTCGCGGACGTACTTGTCACTATTTTCAGTACAGCATTCTGATCTTCAATACTTCAGGTACAAGTTAGTATTTTTTGTGTTGGCAGCAGCAAAAAGAAATACTCAATCTAGTAGTTTGTGTGGAAGAAGGTGGCCTTGTATTTACTTGATTAGTGCAATTTCAAAGCGGCAGATATTTTTGACATTGGATGGAGCACTCGCGAAAAATCGATGCCGGAGGAAGATGGAGACGATGGTTCCAGAATCGGTGGAAAAAAAAAACGAGAACGATCAAAAACTCAAGAAGCATGATTCTTTGTTTGTTTCCGATTTTGAAGAATGGACGACTTCACTGTTAACATTGAGCTTTTTGGGTGAACTCAAACATTGGCATCATGCCAACGATGATCGATAAACAGTTACTGCTTTCATGGTGTGCCAACATTGCACTTCAGGGAAGAAAATCGAAAGCTGACGCTAATGATTTCACTCCAAATAGATTGCCGTTGTCATCTCTCCCACACGCGTCAAACCATGGGCTTGTCTGAATGTGGGCGTTTGTGAGAGGTCTCCGCACCTTACCATGCCTTAAAGGAATCTTCCGCGGAAAAAGCTCCGCCTCCATTACCACAGAAAAACGATACCTTAGGCCCCTAGCCTCATGAGCATAGCAAAAAGAACGGAACATAAGCGTTAGTTTCGATAATACTAATCCTACACACAAGACAAAATGATCACTCTTTCCGTGGAAGATTCCTTTAAGGTATCGTTTTCTGTGGTAATGAGGGCGGAGCTTTTTCCGTGGAAGATTCCTTTAATAGTTGGCCTTCTCCAACCATCGCCCCCTTGGACCCTACCCATTCACTGCCCATCTTTCTCTTTCACAAAAACATTCGATTTATCGCAACTGCTTCCCTTAAGCGGGGTGGGTGAAGTCAATGAACCTAGCTTGAACCAGAAGACCTCGATAATGAAGATAATGAAGAAGATGATGGCACACTGCCAAAAAGCTAACTTACTATTACTGCGATTTTGATTGACAGCTCGCGAATGTCCTTGAGACGAGGATAAACTCTTGAGTATTTCTCCAGAGATTTCTCGGTTACACTATTCGATACCTCCTGAAATAAAACGCTTCGTCAGTTCATAGTTGACGACATGGCAGCCATAAGTGTTCATACTTACCCTGGCTGCTAGAAGGAAAATCTTGTCTGTAATGTGCTTTGATCGGAACAACACAGCTCCGAGTCCGATTCCTGGGAAGATGTAGGCATTATTGCCTTGGCCTGGCTTGTATGTTTTGCCTTTGTATTGGACGTTCTCAAATGGTGATCCGGAAGCGAATAACACTTTTCCCTGAAAGGGTGGGAACGTGAGAAATGGCAGATTTTTGAAGGGATAAAATTGTATATTCATTTCCTCACATCTGTTAAACGAATAGCAGCTTCAGCAGTACATTCCGCGTTTGCTGTCGGATTTGACAGAGCGAAAATAATCGGTCGTTCGTTGAATTCGGCCATCGTCTTTATGACTTCTTCAGTAAATGCGCCACCTTTGGTCGAGGCACCTATAAAATGCTCTTCAACAACCATGTGGGGGCTCATGGAATAGGCTACGATCACACACTGCCGATGGCTCGTGGAGGCTAGTTATCGCAGTTAACTTTTCCAAGCAGACGCATAGCACGAATGGGGTCGTATTCAGCATGAGCCACGAGTGAAGGAAATTCAGCTCAACCCATGACGAACCGCCGCCTTGATGAAAACTGATTGAAAGAGACGAGTCCTCTCCTTGTGCTTGCTTTCCTTAGAGGCGGATTTTGCTATGAAAAGGCAGCTCATTGGAAATGAAGTTAGAGATGGTTAGTGATGCACCAAGCAAGAAAAGAACCAAGAAAGATGCCATGAACCCGAGAAAAGGACCTCTTCCTTGCCCGTTGATTTGCGCATTGATGCGACTCCATCGGTGCTGCCCTCTTCAGCGGTAACACTCTCTCTGCGCCTAGAGACTCAGATAAGCGGCAACGCGAGAGTGGTCCGCTCCGCGTCAATAGCTACTCTATCCTTTTCAGTCATCCTACTTAAAGGCAGAATCTACGATGAAATGTTAGCTTACTGGAAATATAAGGGTAGAGGTGGTCATGAGTAGGGAATGAAGAGAATCCAATCTTGAAAGCAGAACCCGAGAAATGGGACCCCTTCCTTCCCGTTGATTTGCGCATTGATGCGAACTCTCATCGCTGTGCCCTCTTCAACACTACGCTCTCTCTGCTATCTAATCACTCGCCACGTATAGACCTGCGGCGAGTGATTAGATAGTCGGTGGGCGTACCCCGCCAACCGCGCCAAGAGTGAGCCATGCTAGATCGCCGAGGTCAAATCTTTCGCTGCCAATTGCGCGTCGGTCAGCACCCTCAGGAGGTCCGCCTGTCTCCCAACTATGCAATTTTCCCCTTCTTTGACCTTCGTTCTTATCGTGAATCGCCTTGAAGTTTCACCTCAGTCACAACCGATTAACGGGGAACGAAAGATGGAGGTAGGGTTCCTCAACAGGAGAAGTTCAAAATTTCCGTAAAATTTCCAGAGCGTCGGAGATTTTGTGAAATTTGCAATTTTCAAATAATATAGTTAACCTTCCCCCAAGACTCCTACATTGTAAATTCTACTTCCTCTTGCAAAAATGCACTGCCATTATCAATCAATACGGCCCTCTTTCCATCACGAATGCTTGGCAGTCTATACCATGGTATAGCGACCTACGATGGGAAGGGTTGAGGTCTTATTTGCAAAATTTTCTATGACGTATTGTTTTTCTGTACATTCTGACGACCCACTGTGGTAGCGCATCCCATATTAGTTATTCCGCCCTCCCGTCTCACTCGCTGCGCTCCTCATCACATCAGAAAACGCAGAAACTCGTCCGCTGACCCGTCTGCGTCTCTGCCTTCTCGCTGTGCGACAGGTCTCCTGTCGGATACCCACTGTTCACCATGTATGATTGCAGCCAAATGCGACGGTTTTCCTTCTTTTCGGACGACCTTCACGTTATAGCTCGGCCTATTAGAGTGAAGGGCGAAAACTGATTACACTTATTTCGAGTGTACTCTAAAACTGCGCAGCAAAAACTGAAATTTGTTTCCAAGTTGATGTGATTGGAGTGAGCACGAAAAGAGGCAAAAAGGAATTCAAAATCAGCTCAAATAATTTTCTAGATCACCATAGTGGAAAGTGCCGGGTTAAAAATGGTGCTCACCAACAATGGCATGAGGCTTGATTTTTTTGACAACTTCAAGTAAATCTTTAGTCTCCTCCATGTCCTGAAGAAGAGGAGTTTGAAGTACTTCAGACTTGAAAGAGAGTCAGAAGGGACCAAATCGCCTACTTTTGCGAATGGATAATGTCGCGGTGTTAGTTTAGACATGCGACTTTTCGTGATGAGACCGTCGATATCTATCATGTAGATTTTCGCACATGCTTCTTCCACGGTAAGGCCTTCCTCAACCATTTCCCTCACGCACATTTCCGCAACACCAGTGGCAGCCTAAAATCAGCATTCGGCTCAGGCGTTGTTTTTCATGACCGTAGTTTCATTGCTCTTTTTTGTCGAGCGCTGTTCATGAAACAAGTGACTGAGCTAACTGGGCGCAGCCGACATACCGCTCCCTTGCTCTAGCAGCGCTGCTCGCACGAGGCTGTGAGACCCGATCAGTCCGAAAGGGAGGGCGTTTCTATAGGGATCAAGGGACAGTATTGAACTGTAACAGCGTTTCTAGGAGCTTCCTACGTTCCGATCAAAGGCACATTCCACCAATAAAATATGGGTACAGGGGTTTAACACATTGGCGACAACTGCGGCGGAAAACATACGACCCACACCTTCACATGGGTAGGCTTGTTGTAGTCAATTTGTGCCTCAATTTTTTTTCCAAACCTTACCCTATATGTTAAGATACGGTACTAGTACACTAATGAAGTTCAATCAGAACGAATATACCAGCAATGAAGTTGTTGGTGAAGTGATAAGTAATGCTGAAAATTTGTGAAAAAAAGGATGGGTGAA